CCTCCTTTCGTTTTCTTTTCTCTTATCACTTTATCTTGCTACTCTACTTATTTTTTCCTTCAGCCCACCTTCTCTCTATTTTGAAAGTGTTATTTTTTAGTGGGTTTTGCTACACTATCTACACAAGAGCAATCTATTTGGAATCCTTCTGTTACTCCATCTTTGCACAGGAGCATTTATTTACTTCTCTCTGCCATCTCTTCTTCACGCGTCTAATATATAGCTACTTCACCGATAACAACTCCCTCAGTCGTGATGTATACTAATCATCCTCTAACCCACTCTACCTTTAACCATGTTTCATTTACTGTTAATTTACTCCTGTGCACTATTTGTACTGATATTAATAGATCTCTACTCCTGTTAAATGTATAGTCCATATCCATGGATCCTGTACACACACTCAATTTACCGGTCATCTACGCAAAACCCAGTGGCCTTTTGTTTCCTGTTCACATCATTTGTTTAAACCTGTGTTGAACTGATGTTGTACTTTCTTCTTTTTCTTCAATAAAATATTTGAACAAGGATAGAACTGGATTGTGTGTTGAATGGATGAGAAGAAGCTGGAATAAAATGGAATTCTAAGAAGATATAGTACATGAAGAACAGGCCCCTTTTTTGACTCACCAAAGTCCACCCAAGAGTGGCTTGATCGGCACTATAAGGGATAAGAATTAATATGTGTGCAGTACATACAGATAGAGTCCTATATATGGTTGGTAATATATTTAGCTCTCATCCATAGGTGTTTTATTTATTTGGGTGTTTTTGGAAATATGGTAATCATATTTAGCACACCCTTGGGTGTTACTTGGCTTGATATACAGGTTCTCCCACCTGAATCTGGTGACACCTCCAATTATACCCAGAACACTTCGACACTCTGAGAATATATTTTTTTATGGACTTTATTGAAGAAGGCAAGCCCTGAGAAAGAACTAGCTGAATTAACACAGGAAATGTACATAAAATACAGATACCACTTAGCATAACACAATTAGTAAGAAGTCACTATTCACTCTCCAAAGCCTCCAGGAAATGACTGGTATCACACAGGCTAGGATGGCATATGAGGGTGACAATGACACATGAAATAACAATAACTGTCAATAAGGTATATCAGCTGATTGGCATTGGCTGTAACAGTACTATCTAAAGCAGAAATGTCCTACCTAACCACTGGCCAGTGGGATGAAACTTAAAATCTCTCAACATTGGGGCCCTTTAATTAATAGAAGAACGCTCACTCTCTAAATGGGAGAGTGTTTGTAATCCTGGGGTAGAAGGATAGCACAGTCTCCTTTAACCACTTGAGCTCCTGAGGATTTACCCCCCTTAATGACCAGGCCTGTTTTTGCTACTTGGCGCGCACTAATTCAACTGATAATTGCGCGGTCATGCAATGCTGCACCCAAACAAAATTTACGTCCTTTTTTTCACACAAATAGAGCTTTCTTTCAGTGGTATTTGATCATCTGTGCGCTTTTTATTTTTCACGCTATAAACAAAAAAAGGCCAAAAATTTTGAAGAAAAACAATATTTTTTATTTTCAGCTATAAAAAATATATAGTAAACTCAAAGTTGGTTATAAATTTAGGCCAAAATGTATTCTGCTACATGTTTTTGGTAAAAAAAATCCCAATAAGTGTATATTGATTGCTTTTTGTGGAAGTTATAGCGTCTACAAACTATGGTATAAATACTGCAATTTACGCCATTTTTCTGCTATACAGAGCTGCGCTAGTTTAACGGACAATTGCGCGGTCATGCAATATGGTACATAAATGAAATTTACATCCTTTTTTTTCCCACAAATGGAGCTTTCTTACGGTGGTATTTGATCACCTGTGCGGTTTTTATTTTTTACGCTATAAAAAAAAGGCTGACAATTTTGAGGAAAAAAAAAAATATTTTGGACTTTTTGCTATAAAACATGTCCAGTAAAAAAAAAATGCAAAAATCAAATTTAGTCATAAATTTCTGCCAAAATGTATTCTGCGACATGTCTTTGCTAAAAAAAAAACCCAATACGTGTAAATTAATTGGTTTACGTGAAAGTTATAGCGTTTACAAATGGCGGGAAAGATACTGGGATTTTTAGGCGTTTTTATTTATACTGATAATGGCGGCGATCAGCGAATTATGGCGGCGATCAGGGACTTATGGCAGCGACCAGCGACTTATGGCGGGACTGCGGTGGACATTTTGACATTGGGGGGTACTGACTTGGGGTCACTGACATCCCCAAAAACACTAATACAGTGATCAGTGCAAAAAAAAAACCTGGCACTGTACTAATTGCAATGGGGAGGAAGGGGTTAACTTTATTTAGCAGGGAAGGGTTATAGGAGTGAGGGGAGTGTTTTACTAGGGGGCGGGGGTGTGTGCTGGGCGGGACAAGGCTGATCGAGAAAGAAAAACTGTTCTTTCTCGATCAGCTCATCCTCGAGCTGTCAGGGAAGTGACAGACAGCACAGCTACTGCAGCTGTGCTCTCTGTCACTGTTTGCCGCCGATCACCGGGACATAGCCGCTAAAGAGCAGCTGTGACCCGGCGACTGACATCTGTGGCAGAGAACCGCGGGACAGATAGGGCGGCGGCGCGCCTCGCGCGCGCCCCCTATTTGTTTACAAAACACACGTCTTAAAACGTGGTTTTGCCTGTGAGTGCCGCCCTGCCGCCGTATATGTACAGTGGCTGGGCGGCATGCGGTTAAGCCGAACCTCCCAATGCACATTACAATTGAAAAGATAGAGAACAACATTCCAAAAATGTCTTTACCATACAGGAGAATCCTGATGTATTGATACAGTAGGTTTAGAGCAGCAAGTCTCTGTAGTGATTTGGAGCTAGAACACACTCTTCAGCACAAGTTTTGAGGAAACATAATAACTAGTAGTATACAGTGGCAGAGTTCTCTCATTAATCAGCAGCAGGAAAGCTAATTCTGAGCAACATGGGCTTTTCAAGATCTGTGATATTCTGAGGATTAAAGAGCAGGCTTTCTCATAACCATTCTCCAGAGATGAACAACAAATGCAGCAGTATCAAAATCCCTCTTCATCACAGAGTACTCACTGTTTCTGAACTGTCCTTTAGGTAGCATTCAACAGTAGTAGAAATCCTCTCTCTCTCCTACAGCAGCTCCAAACTTTGAGAGACACATGCACTTGAGTGGCTGTAATCCTGAGGGTCAGGCAGCACAATTCTTGGTTTGCACTCTGCCCTTCTGCAACAATTCCTCTGGGTGCACACACCTAGCCAAGTTTATGGGTTCTAGCAGCACAGAGAGTGAGACCTTTATGGCTTTACACAAGCAGCCACGCTCCATACGGTCCTAACGCAAAATGTCTCCTTCCCCATGTGTGTCCTTCTTAGCCCCCTTCCTCTTCTCCTCCTTCCTCAACAGCCAGTCATAAGTTCAGCTACCGCAGTGCTGCTATGGATGGATCCTTCTCAGCTGTAGCAACAGCCAATCAGAGCACAGTCCTGTGTTTTCCTGTCTGTCACTCACAAAGAGAGAAAAGTGAAAAAAATACCTTGCAGCTGCTGTTAAAGATTTAAACCAACCAGCACTCTGCTACACATATATTTAAACTACTTTTGTGGAATGTTAGGGGTATGAATAATACTCTTAACAGACAATCCACATTTGAGTATGTAGACTCTTTCCGCCTTTCTGTGATCTACCTGCAAGAGACTCACATCACTAAGAAAAATGTACATTTGCTCCATCGTCGACCTATTCAAATTGCCTACCATTTTATATATTCTTCATACTCACAGGGAGTTTCTATTTTGATTTGTCAAGGGGTAGCATTCTCCCGTATGCGGGTCTTGGTTGTTGCGGGGCGTGGATACTTTTTTCTACATTGTACTTTATGGGATTTCAAAATGGTACTTGCTATAGTGTATAGTCCACCTCCATATAGTTCTGAAGTGCTGCAACACTTTGTTTCTTTTGTTAAAGATGTTTTACCCATACCTATGGTTATAATGAGAGATTTTAATAATGTTATTGATCCCAGTAAAGATAGATTTCTCCCTTCCCAAGTGCTTCTAGATGGTAGAGAAACAGGACTACGGGATGTTTGGAGGAAACTACACCCGGAAGAGCTGTGTTACATAGTTACATAGTTAGTCTGGCTGAAAAAAAGACAAAAGTCCATCCGGTGCAACTATAGAAAAAAAAAGTTATAATCCTACACCCACAGTTGATCCAGAGGAAGCAAAAAAAAAAAAAAACCAGCAAAGCATGATCCAATTTGCTCCTGCTGGGAAAAAAATTCCATCCTGATCCCTCGAGAGGCAATCGGATATTCCCTGGATCAACTTTACCTGTAAATGTTAGTATCCAGTTATATTCTGTGTATCTAAGAAACAATGCAGGCCTTTTTTTAACCACTTCCAGACCGGACACTTTTACCCCCTTCCTGACCAGGGCAATTTTCAGCTTTCAGCGCTATCACACTTTGAATGACAATTGCGCAGTCATGCAACACTGTACCCAAATTAATTTTTTACCATTTTTTTGAGACAGATAAAGCTTTATTTTGGTGGTATTTATTCACCGCTGGGATTTTAACTTTTTTTGCTATGTAAATGAAAATGTCCAAAAATTTTGAACAAAAGTGTTTTTTTATAAAATTTTGCAAATAAATAATATTTCATCATAAATCTTTGCCAAAATTTATTCCGTTATCTTTTTAGTAAAAAACCCAAAACAAATTAGTTTATAACCAAAAATTATAATTTTTAAACATTTTTTTTTACATTTTTATTTTATTTTTTTTATATTATTATTTTTTATTTATTTTTTTTTTTACATACTGTCACCATAGCAGTACATTGTCACCATGGTGACACTGTACTACTTGTGGGGGGTGATGAAGATTTTTTTATTTTTTTTTTTACACTGATTGCTTTTACACCCATATAGGATGTAAAAGCAATCATTTCTCTTTCTCTCTGTGTGCATTCCTGCACTCATTGAGAAGTACTGAGTGATCTGTGATTGGTCACACCTTGTCACATGGTACAAGGCTGTTGTGAATAGCCTTGTACCATGTGACCTCTGTGATCATTCACAGATTTCACACGTAGTAAGCAGTGATGTCACAAGTGACATCTTGCTTACTACTTTGCATGTGATCACTGATTGGCCAACGATCGGTGTTTCACTGTGTCCGGAGGACACAGCTGGCACCGAACCGCGGTGCTGCGCGCTCCCAGGGAGCGCGCACAAGCAGGGTGCGGGGAGGCCATTCATAAACGGCCACCCGACCCTGCACTCCCACCGTCCGGCCGTTTATATGCAACGGCCGGTCGGGAAGTGGTTAAGCAATCCACAGAGCTGGCCAGAACCAACTCTTGAGGGAGTCTATTCCACATTTTCACAGCTCTCACTATGAAGAAACCTTTCTGTGTTTGGAGATTACATTTCTTTTCTTCCAGATAAAAAGAGTGCCTCCTTCTCCTCTGTGATGACCTCAGGGTGAATAGCTCTACACCAAGTTCACTATATGAACCACTGATGTATTTATACATGTTGATCATATCCCTCCTTAATCTCTTCTTCTCAAGAGAGAATAAATTCAGTTCCTCTAATCTTTCCTCATAGCTTATTTCCTCCATGCCTCGTATCAGTTTAGTTGCCCTTCTCTGTACTTTCTCAAGTTCCCCCAGTTTTCTTTTTGTGAATTGGTGCCCAAAACTGAACTGCGTATTCCAGATGAGGTCTTACTAATGATTTGTACTGGGGTAATATGATATATCTCTCTCTGGAGTCTATACCTCTTTTAATACAAGAGAGGATTTTGCTTGCTTTAGAAACCGCAGCTTGGCATTGCATGCCATTCTTAAGCTTGCGATCTACCAGAACTCCCAGATCCTTCTCCACCATTGATTCCCCCAGTTGTACCCCCCCCCCCAGTATGTATGATGCATGCATATTCTTAGCCCCTAAGTGCATAACCTTACATTTATCAACATTAAACCTCATTTGCCACATAGTTGCCCATTTAAACAGTGCATTGAGGTTGGCTTGTAAGTTGAAGACATCCTTTAAGGACGTTATTCCACTGCACAGCTCGGTGCCATCTGCAAAGACTGAAATGGGATTTTAATCTCAGACCCTATATTATTTATAAATATATTAAAAAGTAAGGGTCCCAACACTGAACCCTGGGGTACACCACTGATGACCCCAGACCATTCAGAGTATGAATCATTAACCACTACTCTCAGAATACGATCTTTTAGTCAGTTTTCTATCCATTTACATACAGATTTTTCTAAGCCCGTAGACTTTACCTTACACATTAGCCATGTGTGTGGAACTGTGTCAAACGCTTTTGCAAAATCCAAGTATACCACGTCCACCGCCACCCCTCTGTCCAAGGTTTTGCTCACCCCCTCATAAAAATAAATCAGATTTGTTTGACAACTTCTGTCTTTCATGAATCCATGCTGTCTGTTGCTTAAAATATTTTTTTCCAGCAAGAACTCATCTATGTGATCTTTTTTATTAAACACTCCAATATCTTCCCAACTATAGAAGTTAAACTAACAGGTCTATAATTACTTGGTAAACATTTTGACCCCTTTTTAAATATTGGCACTACATTGGCCTTGCGTCAATCCAGTGGTACTATGCCAGTCATTAAAGAGTCCCTAAAAATTAGAAACAATGGCTTTGAAATGACAAAGCTCAATTCTTTAAGGACCCATGGGTGTATGCCATCTGGTCCAGGTGCTTTTTTTACCTTTATACTGTCTAAATATTTTTGGATCACATCAATTGTGAGCCAATGTGGATCATCTGGAGCTGTGTCAATACTATGTCCATTATGGACAAGAGCTCCCCCATGCTCCTTTGTATACACAGAGCTGAAGAAGGTATTAAATAAATTTGCCTTCTCTTTGTCCCCAGTCACCCACTCTAGATTATTTTGTAAAGGTCCTACATGCTCAGATCAAACCTTTTTACTATTAAAATATTTGAAGAATTTTTTGGGGTTGGTCCTGCTATCTTTTGCAATCTGTCGTTCCTTTTCAATTTTTGCGGCCTTTATTTCCTTTTTACATATTCTTTTATATTCTTTGTAATGTTTAAACGATGATAGCGTTCCTTCATGTTTATATTTAATAAAAGCTCTTTTCTTATTATCTATAGCCTTTTTAACTTTGGCCATAAGCCACATAGGTTTGATTTTTAGCCTTTTAAACTTGTTGACCATGGAAATATATTTTGCAGTGTGTTCACATACAGCCTTTATGAAGAACTCCATTTCTGTGTTGTGTTCATCAATGCCAATATTCCGTCCCAGTCTAAGTCTTGGAGAGAAGCTCTCAGCCTTTGAAAATTAGCTCTCTTGAAATTGAGCGGTTTTATTTTTCCCCTATGTGCTTGCTGTTTACAGCTAACAATAAATGAAATCATGTTATGGTCACTGCTACCCAGATGTTCTTTTATATGGACATTCGTGATAAGCTCTGCATGGTTTGAGATTACCAGATCCAGCAGAGCATCATTCCTAGTTGGGGCCTCTATGAACTGTACCATAAAATTGTCCTGTAGTAGGTTTAAACATTTTTGTCCTTTAACTTTTCCTGCAGTACTATTACTCCAGTCAATTTCTGGGTAGTTAAAATCCCCCATTATTATCACTGTCCCAGTCCTTGCAGCCCTTTCGATCTGTCCAATGATTACCTTTGTAGTACGCACCCCCATGTGCAGTTCCACCCATAATGCTTCAGCCTCATTGCACTCTCTATCAACTAGGTCCTCTTTCACACTCGCTCTGAGATCACTTGTCCCATAGAGACAGACAGCACCACTGTGGTTGCACATGTCATTCTAACCCATAACACATTGTCTAGACTAAATATGGTCTTATCATCAGTAGAGCTTGTGACGGCATTTTTGGATGCTTCTATTGAGCCCAGAGGGATCTCTGATCACTCGCCTGTCCAAAGGTTTCGTGAATCTTTGGCTGGGCTTAATCCCACCAATGAAGGTGTTTCATCTGCCACCATGATTTTTGTTAATAATAATATAGACTTAGCCTCTTATGATGTTGTGTTGGACGCTCTTAAGGATTATCTCAGGGGAATTCTAATTAAGCAGATTAGTGTAATCACATCTGTCATGATCACGGCGTCAGACTCCAGACCTTCTCACCAAACTCATGACCGAAGGACTAGCCAACCTAAAACCACAATGTCACGTGTGTAACAAAGCCACACCCAGCTGCACCCTGCACAACGATTTTCCAGCTAATTGAACCACAATCGATGTACAGGCAGTCTGAGCGATTGTTACTGGGTCAGGTTAATTATGCAATTAACCCTTCAGACTGCCACCACCTTCTTTTTGTACAATGAAAGAGGAAACTCGGCAATATCAGCTAAAACACTATAATGGTCGAGATAATCGTCTGCATAATACGGTCACTGCAGGCCGATTATGCAGAGAGTTAAACAAACACAGCAGCGTTCTCTTTAGAGGCAGGAATTCGTAAATTGCAATAAAGCGCTTTAAAAACAGTTCAACACTTTCAGAAGGAAAGATTTATTACTAAAAGGTCAAACGGGTGCAATAAAAATATTTACAGAAAAATGTAACTAATATATATATAAATATACAGAAAACAGCACAGCACAGCAAAGAGATTAAAGGGTTAAGGTACTTGCCATTAAGCCTTGGATTTAAGCAGATCAAGTTTCTGAGCAGAAGGGCACGGGTCTCCCCAGGTGGTATTGATATTAAAATGGGAGATGTCTTCCACTCTCACTCTTAGGCCTGACAGCCTATTTTGTAGTCCCCAGCAGGGGGTGTCTCTGAAGTCACGGACCAATGCCCCGCTTAGGGGTGTGTAGGTATGGTTTAATACCTCAACTAGAGCCAAAATCTCCCGTAACTCATATTTTGGCCCATAACTTTCCATCTGCACAAGTGACATCCCACGCACGGGTAGATTATTATGCAGACAAGTCTGAGGATTGATTAGATATGAATTATGAAATTATACACTGAACGGTTCACAAGATCTATTTTTCTTCTTTCCTATATGTCCGAGACAAGGCAAGTGACCCATCAAACTGTTCGCCTGCTCATCGCCCATCTGACGATATGCCTGGTTTATATGTAATTCTCTCATATTCCAAGATATGAGACATAGGGGAAAGATGGATTTTAACAAAGGTTATCTGATTCTGTCACCTAAGCTGAGTTAGGTTTATTAGGTTGGAATCTCTGTCAACTCCTGGGAAAGCTTGCCTTAGCTCTTCCGAGGTGTTAAATTGCACAGGTTCTTTGGACAGCTAGGCCCGGGCTCAGAGAGGTGTTTTATAGCTCTGGGCTCCCTGCTGGCTCTAGCCTGCCAGTGACCCACAACCAGATGTCACTGTGGCTGAGCAGAGAGGAAGGGGGAGAATGAGGGAACAACATGGAGATTCTTAACAAAATGGCGGACTGCATCAGTCTCTGGTGCGCACGTTTGCGACAACATCCTCTTTTAGGAAAAATTTGGAACTAGCTAAATCAGAGACTTTAGTAGCAGAGGCTAAATATGTTACTGACCCATCCACGGAAAATCAGGCACAATGGCTATCTAACCAAGAACAGCTATCCTCTCTTTTATTGGACAGGACAATATTTTCAAAAACGTCTGACTTGGGCTGAGGGTCAAGGGACAGGTAAGGTATTAGCTTAGATTGCCCAATTGCAGGAAGAGATACCTTATTTCATTGCATTAAAAAATGAGTTGGGTTGCACCCACACTCAGACAGAGGCTATTTTGGGGGTCTTCAAAAATCTGTATCTGTCGCTATACTCTAGCGATGTTACTTACATGAATGAAAACATTCAAAATTATCTTGAAGGGATTCCCTTTCCAGTACTTTCATTAGAAGATCAAAGATTGTTAAATGCCCCTATCACGCTACAGGAACAGGAACTGGAAGAAGCAGTGATGAGCTTTCCTCACAGTAAAGCTTCTGGGATGGATGGATTCCATATAGAAATATATAAGAAAATATAAGCGGCATTACTACCTAACTTATTGCTTACTGCAAATAAGGCATTTAATGTGGGGAAGCTTCCAGAGTCCATGTATGAGGCAGCTATAATAGTCATTCCTAAGAAGGGTAAAGATATCCTCTACCCTGAGTCTTATAGGCCAATATTGTTATTACCTTCTGATGGTAAAATCTTAGCAAAGGTGTTTGCAAATAGACTCAATAAAATTATTTCTCATGTTATACATCAG